CATCTTCTATATTGCAGGTGGCCTGCCCGCCCATTTCCTGCCTCAATACCAGATCCACACAAGGACACTACAGACAGGAAAATTGCAGACCAATATCCATGATGAACATGGATGCAAAATTCAATCTACAATAGTTATGAAACATCCTTAGGGATAAATTTAACCAAGGAGGTAAAAGATCAGTATACTGAAAACTTCAGAACGTTAAGGAAGAAGACGACACAAATGAATGGAAAGATATTCTGTGTTCAAGAACAGACAATATTATTATGGTCGAAATACCATCATATTCACTATAGAAATTCTTAAAAAGTTCCATCACATTCTCTTTCCTTATTAACTTTCGCAGTTGGGTGTGTGGTGTGTAACTTACATTTAGTATACGTCTCAATTCAGACTAGACTCATCTTTTCTTTTTTTTTTAAGTTTGCTATAAGGTGTATGCGTTCACCAGAGAAAGTGAAAAAACACCCCCTAGGAAACATAGCCACCCCACAAACCCTTATCCTTAATTCTCATCTCAGGACTTTGGGCATGTACGCACATGATCACTGTGTGATTTTCAAGCCACCAGGTCTGAAACTTGAACTGCAAGGTCTGCCATGCGATATATCACTTTACACATGCACACACATGTATGCACACTCACACACCCTCACGTGTGCACAGGCATAGGGATCTGCTTTGAGACAACATCTGATTCAAAATGTCATCTTTATCATTTCACTGATGTCCACACACATTAGGGGATCCCTACAATCTCTACTTGGGTCCATTGAAATATGCATCAGTTCCTGTTTGAACTGCTAAGCATTTCCATACATAGTGGATCAAGCTCTCTCTCATGCATAACCTTCCACATTTTATCTTGGAGACAATTTCATAATCTTATTGTCCAGTTCCATATGCACACACTTAGAATCTGCTGTGATTCACTATTGGGGCTTCACTTGAATTAAATATAAGTTTTGAGAGGAACTGATATTTCAAATAGTAGTTTTTCCCCAGCAAATTAAAATTGTTTTAAAATATTATTTTAGTGTCCAATATAGATGCTCAGTTAATTTTATTTATATTTTTCTTGTTTTTCTGAATCATGTTCATGTTTGTTTTACATTTGTGGCCATTGTTAACACTGAATTTTTTTGCTGTATTTTTTCCTAGCTATTTTTAAAATTATTTAGTGAATTTTCTTTATTATTATTATTTTAAATTTGCTATTAGGCATATGTGCTCAAAAGAAAGAGAGAGAGAGAAAGGAAAAGTGAGAATGCAAACTGCCAGGTCCAGAATTTGTACTGCGGCCAGCCATGTGGAGTCCAGTGCATTAACCACCATGCCTCCTGTTGGTCCCATGTTCCCTAGTTATTAAAAGGCTATGCACAGGGCCCAGCAGATGGCTTAATGGTTACATCACTAGATTCCCATACAGTTGACCACAGTTTGAGTCCCAGACCTAGTGGCTTAAACTCACGCCAGATGTGTGTGCATGCATGCCCAAGATCTTGGGAGGAGAATGGAAGAGAAGGGATTGCGGTGTGGCCATCCATCTCTGGGGGGTGGGAGGGATTTCTTGCTTACTGTCTCTCTATCTTTCTGGAGAGGGCACGTACCCTATAGCAAAAATCTCTCTCGCAAAAAAAAAAAAAGGCTATATACATATTTTTCTGTGTTTAAGTGATATTGGCTGAGATTTCCTACTAGATGCACTTCTTTTTTTAGAGAGATTTTTGCTATATGGCATGTGTGTTCACCAGAGAGACAGAGAAACAAAAAGAGAGAAATCACCCCCACCCCCAGAGGGATGGCCACACTGCAATCCCTTCTCCTCCACTCTCCTCCTGGGATCTTGGGCATGCATGCACATGTGCCCAGTATGACTTTTAAGCTGTCAGGTCTGGGACTCAAATCACTGTCAAGTACATGGGAGTCCAGTGATGCAACCGTTACACCATTTGCTGTTTCTGCGACTAAACCTGCTTCTAGGGTTGTTCCATGGTTGTCTAGGAAGGCAATTCCTGAGGAGAGAGACAAATTTCTACTTCCTTTTGTTAATAAAAACTCTTCACTCCTAAGTCCTCATTCCTGTGCAATTTGTTCTAGATACATGTTTCAAGGGACCCCTAAACCTGAGGGTGCCTACTGACGAGGTTTGCTAATTCCAAAGAACACACTGAGAGGTCCAGCAGGGAAAGACGTGAATTTACTTATCAGAGAAGTTCCACTGACAGATGGGTGGATAATAATCCATGCAGACAGCACCAAGGACAAAGCATGCATAAATCAAGACATACATTGTTTAGGGGTTCCAATACCCAATTAGCTTATCAATTAATAGAATCATTAAGGTATATCTGGGTATAATGTCTGGAATTTAGTGCCTCTAGTCTTGTGATGTTAATTGTGGAAGAGGTATGAGGCATATCTCCCGAATAGCCCTCACCATGGGGCCGGCAGGTGGCATGGTGGTTAAGGGCGCTGGACTCCCACATGGCTGACCATGGTTCTAGTCCCGGATCTGGTGGCTTGCTTTCTCACTTTATCTCTCTCTGTCCCTCTCTGGTCAAATTAAAATAAATAAATAAAGTGAAATAAAAATAGTTTAATAAAAATAGCCCTCACGTTGGGCCAGATAAGGGAATGGTCTTGAGGGGTTCATGTCAAGTTGGGCCAACAGCTGGATCTCAGAGGAATAGGGCAAAGAGAGAGGTGGGAGGAGAGCTCAATGTATGGAGTTTACCCTCAACATGGAACACAGGAGTCAGAAAGTTCTCACATGGTTATCTGACGGGCAGGAGGAAACCAAGATGACTGAGCCTCCTGGGTCCCTCATACATGCATCTGTGCCTCGATTTCCCCACTTGTTTCATGTGATAGAGTGGATCAGCCAGTGTGGGGAACACTCTCACCTCTTTGTAGCAGTCATTTTATTTCTTCTGGAGAACAACACTATTAAAGTACAAAGCCTAGGTCAGCCAGGTGGCGTAGTGGTTAGAGCGGCTGGATGTCACAAGGCAGAATGCACAGCTTGTCTTGGACCCGGAGGCTTGAAAAATACATTGAGCTCCAATGGCACATGCCCACAATCCCAAGAGGAGAATGAAAAAGAAAGTATGTGGTTTGACCTTCCCCCCTGGGGATGCTTTCTCATTTTTTCTTTCTCTTTGTCACTCTCCCACTCTCTCCTGTGTTTCCATGGAGAGTTTCTTGGGTCAGTGAAAAGCTCTGAGGCCAACATCGCTGAGTGTTCAATCCAGGGAGCAGGCCTACAATGGGAACATCCCCAGGTAATTTCTTTTTTCTCTCCTGGCCACTTTCTCTCTCCCAATTCAGCCCCAGACCAGAAGTTAATTAGGCAATGGCAGACAGTTGGATTATGTGACTGAGTGAGGTCACCAGGTTCCAAGGGCTCATGGGCTCTTGCAGCAGTAGAAGACAGTGGATGAGAACACACACACTTCCTCCCATCAACTCTGAAGGCAACATCAGGGTGTCTTCAGGTACACTGCTTGGGGGCTTTGGCTAATCTGTGTGAATTTCACCCAATTCTTGCTTCTCCCTTAATGTTCTCCACCTGAGGAAATGTTAACTCTGTTCCCTCAGTAGGTTAACGTAATGTGTGTGCCATGACCCTCAGCTCTCTCAGTGTTCTTTACACACTCCATCTGTCCACCAGCAAAATCTGTCACTTCAAAATGTACTGTAGACTCACCATCTCTCACCACCTCAACCAAACTGACAAAAATTAGTGGATCCAGACCTGCTCAGGAACTGTCTCATTTCCTTTCCTTCATTGAATTTATCCCTAAGTGAACAAAAGGCCAGCAATCTGTATATCAGAACGTGTGCAGGTCACTCACAGTATGCCATCTGCAAGATCTACAGCAGATCATGAGTCCCAGAAACTCACGGGGGCAGGTACCCATATTTTTGGCCACTTCTTTTCCAACGGAAGACAAGAGGTTTTTACCAAGGCACACTAACTCCTGCCTCCAGTGTCTTATAGTGTGTGGATGGGGCTTCTTTAGAACAAAGATTGCAGGCTAGCAAATGGTGTGGTGGTTGGGGCACTGGACTCCCATGTGGCCAACCATGGTTCAAGTCCAGGACCTGATAGCTTGTTTTCTTGCTTTCCATTTTTCTCTCCTCAGGTCAAATCAGAAAAATAATTAATTAATTAATTAATTAAAATAACTCTTCAAAAAAAAAAACCCCACAAAGATTGCACAGGAGCCTAGACCTGTCACTTGCCCCTTTCTGTCCTAGGATCTACTTTGCCATGGTCAGGAAGCCCAGGAGATGTTAATAGAATATGATTTCTATTAGCACTTTTAATTTGTCCTTCAGGTTCCATGTTCCAGCTCTTGTGCCTAGAACAGTGTCTGACACATAAAATGAGTAAGAATGTGTGGAATGAACCAAGGAGTGACTACATCAACTCCATAAGGACAGTCACTCCTTCTACCTTCCTCCAAAGTGAGAAACCCTAGAGCCATAAAGCAAGTTTGGATCTGATTATTCTGAGACCAGAAGATCATGGAGGGGTTATGAATCATGGGACTGGGGGTGAGTCCATAGCCACATGCCAGTGAGTATAGTCCTTCTACTAGCTGACAGGTACCTGGTTCTATGCTCTGTTAGGGGAAAACAAGGAATTTCATAGAGTGCACTTGTGGGATTGTGGTCCCATCTTTCTCTGTGCGCAAACAGCTTCCCCTTCCTTCAAAGGGTCCCAGTTTATCCCCTGATTCATGTCTACACATGGGGTACACCTTTCCACCAAAGAAGCTAGAGGAGGGTCAAGTGTACCAGAGCTGGAGACATTCCTGTTTAGAAAATTAACTCAGGTCTCAGTGGGTTGTCCAACAATGCTTCCCCCAGGAAACAAGTGATAAATTAATCACAGCTAAGCAATATTCTTGGTCAAACTATTCATTTATTGAATTTAATGACATTTACCTACAGTATAGTTGTGCCAGGTACTATTTTAATTGCTTGAAGATGTCTTAGAAAAAGAAAAACAAATGAAAAATACCCTTCTTTGGTGGAGTGTGCACCTTGTTGTGGGTGAGAATAGAAAGGCCAAGATAATTAACATAACCAACTGTATAGGTGAGGATGAAAACTGTCATAGAAAAAATCAAACTAGAATAGGCAACAAAATGGGAACTCAAAGTGGACGGCAAATCCTACTTTTACTCATGCCCATTGACAAGCTGGCCTTACTGCCTCTTGATTAAAATGCTTTGTCTTTGATGGTCACTTCATGGCCATTACAGGCCTCTGCCACCACTCCTAGCCATGGAAAACGAGGCATTTAAATTTAATTTCAGTGTTGTTTTTAGGAAACTATTTCTATAGTAACTAGCCAGCTTTAGCATGCTTTTCATTGATAAGGCACTTCTCTACAGTGGGTTCATGGTCCCAGATGAACTATTCAGTATCTTAACTGTACTGATATAATTTTTCTATCTAAAATATTGTGTTGGCTTACTGAGCAAAGTTTTCTAATTCAACCAGTCTCTACTGCCCATAAATGAAAACACAAACAGGGACTGGAAAACATTACTTATTACAATAATTACACAGGGCTCATAGAAATTGCTCTCCAAACATAGCAAAACTGAATACTTTCCACCATGACCACATTGACAAGGTCATCTATCTGGGGACTGTATCCATCAGGAAGATTCAGTGAATCCAAGGTGAAGAAGATATTATTGTCTACCACTCCACTTCTTCCATGCAGGCTAGTGACGCAGACCTATAAAGAAGAATGATGGACATGTTTATTACATGGGCACTGCCCTTTGAAAGGCGCTGCATCACCTCATTCAGGCTCTGACCTGCAGGTCACTCTATCACCATCACTGATCCTCAGCCCAACTGGCACACTGCCCAAACCAGGGGTGGTTTGTAAAAATACCTCTGCCCAGATCTGCTTCAGACCAATCGTATCAGAATCTCTGGGGTTAGTATGCCGTTGCCCATTGAGAAAGTATGATCTGAATAATATCTCATCTAATTTCCTTCTTATTTTCAAGTTGCACTACTCAAATGATCCCCCACATTTACCAGTAAGCCTACATTCATCACCTTACTCTATTTGTATTTTTCCCAACAACTTTCTTGTACACTATCTTCCAGTGGCCTCACAACATGCTAATAACATTCTACTAACAAATCAACTGCATAATGTAGAACTTATTGATATGTTTAGCCTCCATTCTTTTCCAGCTATAGCACCTTGGAGTGGATGCCTTTTCCATGACAATAGATAATCCTATTGGGTAAACAAATATTTTCTACATTTCTCAGGATACTGAATAAGATCCTAATTGGGAAAGTTATCACTAAAGGAAGCATTGGAAACAACTAATGATAAGTGCAACATTTAAAATAATTACCTCCTCCACACGTCTACAATCCATGGGTTTCACTGATTGTGCCATGACATCAGATGTGCCTGGCAGTAGGGAATACTCTACTGCCAGCCAGTCGCCCTTATAAGGCATAAAACCTTCAGCAGCCATGGAGAAGTCATAGTGTAATTATGTGAAAAGCTTTAGTTTTCCATTTTTCTAAAAAAAAAAAAAAAAACATGTTTTTCTGAAAAATGCAAATCATACCTTCAGAAACAATGTCTAGGGAGAAGTAAGTTTTCTTACTAATGTAGACAGCATCTGTGCTTACAGACATTACACAAGCAGTCAAAACTCTGGTTTCAAGTTCCAGTGGTCCAGAGTCATCGACAGTATCATAGAGTCTATTCACCTGCAAGATAAGGAAAGAGTTACTTCCAAAAGGATTAACATTAAAAATGATACTTTCATGCTTAATCCATTGATGTTTGAAAACTGTTTTAAATCACTATTCTGAACTTAGGTGAATATATTTCACTTGAGAAGTACATCAGAGATATGAGATGATGGTAAAAATAATGCCAGTACTTTGTGTACTGTTAGAGTGAATTAGAAAACCTGAATTTCTCGGGACCAACAGTTGGCATAATGGCTATGTCACTGGACTCCCATGTAGTCAACTGTGGTTTGAGTCCCAGACCTGGTGGCTTAAACTCATGCTGGATGTGTCTGTGTGTGCGCCCAGGATCCCAAGAGAAGAATGGAGGAGAAGGGATTGTGGCATGACTATCCCCCCTGGGGGGTGATTTCTCACTTTCTGTCTCTCTGTCTCTCTCTGTCATTCTGGAGAGCGCATGCACCCTGTAGCAAAAATCTCTCAAAAAAAGAAGTTTGTTGTGCTTCTACCCTAGGAATTCACAAAATTATGCAAATAAACTGGAAAAATATCTAATTCTAAGCCACTTCTGATGGAAGATATTAAAAAAAAGTTTAAACATGATTTCTCCTAACTTACAGGAATGAGGAAATTTCAGACTGTGAGAAAATAAGAGAAGGAAGACTTGGAAGAAGGAAGATTTGAGCTGGTTTGTGAAAGAAGATTTTCCCTGGCAAATGGGTAGGGTAGGGACAGGAAGAGGGGGACAGAGAGGAAAACCCATCACAAAGAGAAGGAAAGTGAGAAATCACCCCCTCAGGGGATGCCCACATCACAATCCCTTCTCCATTCTTCTCTTGGGATTTGGGGCCCTTGCATTATCTTCAAGCTGCCAGGTTTGGGACTTGAACTGTGGTTGACCATGTGGTAATCTAGTGCCTTAACCACCATGTCACCTGCTGAGCCCAATTTCTTTCTCTCTCTCTCTCTCTCTCT